TAAAAACAAGTAGTTAACTAAACTCGTGTCCATGCCATATCCTAACAAACACCTTTAGTTATTAATATAATGTTATTTGACATGAAATTATAATGAACTAAACTTGAACAAAAAATGTTCCTTTCTAAAAAAATTAACTTTAACATTTAAACGTCAACGATTTAACCCCAAAATTTTAATCTTGCCATAAACAACTCAACTCTAAAATGTTGTTCAGGATCCCTGTGAGTTCGGTCTTCCTGTACATTCGTCTACATAATTGAAGTAGTAATTAGGACCCTGGGCTATTTCATTTCCACATAGAAACTTTTATTATTTTCCCTTTCAATCATTTATGGTAGCTTTAATGTTGGTTTTTTAATCTATAATAATCTCAGAACTACCTACGTTCAGGTAACACCTGTGTCTGGAATGTTAGGTTAATTAGGTTACAAAGGTTTTATGGTAATGCTGATGTAATGGTAAGAATATACGGCTCGTCCAACAAAAATTTCTAATTAATTTATACGTCTGAAACAACTTGGTTTTCGTTTGCAAATCTGGATATTAAATGTGTTGTAGGAATATTGAAATTCCGTCAGGGTTCAGGTACAAACCACCGTCCACAGACGAAATGTGGTGAAGTTTTATCATGTTTCAGTTTCAGTGGATTTCCGAATATCCAAATCCAAAATAGGTTGTGCTTTGTTGAGATGCCATGGGGAGCTTTTCATCCATCCATCCTTCCATCAAGAGAACCGTATGCCTGTCTGTCCTTCTCTTACATAAAAGACAATCTTATATTGTAAACCTCAACATGAGCGACGCCCATTAGACCCGATGCGGCTTTAGTGCGCCAGCGGTAATATTTTAAAATTTTCAGACGGCGTTTCCCAGATTTACGATCGGATTGTGTAAATTGGAAACTTTCGGAAGACATATTGCTTCGAACTGCAAATTAATGCCGTCCTGTATATTTTTACCGCAAAATTAAGTTTAAAAATATTTTGGTCTCATTTACAGTTATAATATATAGACATGTGTTGTTTTTCTTGTGGGCCATGGGGATTTCCATGTATTAAATTATATACAATAAATTTAAGAGATTGTTTTATAGATTTCTTTTGAAGTAGCCTTATACCGACAAGGGCTTTTATCTACAACGTTAGCAAAGAATCACGTAAAAATAAAGCACAATTTATGTAAGAACTAAGAAAATTTCGATTCAACCAAAAACCAACAATTGACAATATTATTTCTTCTGTTGTTTATAATTGTATTAGGTCAAACTAAGGCAATACAATAAATAATTCGTACTAATTGGATAGTTATTAGAGAGATTTGAAATTTAGTTTGATATGACTGAAAACAAGGAACTTAGCTGAATATAAAAATTATAGAACACAAAGCTATAATTCTCAAAGGAAATTTAAAACAAAAACCATTCATAATAAGCGAGATCGGATGCGTCGTTTGTCAAATGGTTTATGTGTCTCCGGCTTTGAAATATGCTGTGGCTGTTTTAAAAACTAGACGTGTTCTTGAAAATAGAAATAATAAGGCTCTTTTACGAGAGAAATTACATTTCTGATTGCAATATTGTATATGTAGCAAGCTTTAGTGGGCGACAGACTAGCTTGGAATTCACTTAATTCAATATATATAACATGCTTCAGTACTATAACATCTTTTAAATCGATCTATTTTCGCTTTGGACAAGCTACTGCTTACTTACTTCTGTTTTTTTCAAATACAATTTAATATTTATTTATGTAATACCGGTAGAAAATAATTGATTTTATTCAGTTTACGTTTTAACCACGACGGATACAATATCTTTAATAGACTGTACCTTTTTTTACTGGCACCCAATGCCCATTAATCAAATCCAATATGTTGCCCCAAGCTGAGTTCAATTTGGTCTAATCTTAAAAAGATAATAGATATTACTTTTTACATAACCTACAGTCTTACATAACTGTACTGTCTCCCGTTCTACGTCACCAAACGGTTACACTTCCTAATAATTTTGTTAATTGTACCACTCCTATTTCTTGGCATTATTTAATTACCCACCTTATGTTATAAAATATTTGATCGTCTATATTACATTATTAGTTTTGCTGAGGGGGTTTGAGTATTTATTTTAACGAATTATTTTCGTAATATTAAAAAAAAAATGTTTTCAAACAATCAATTTTTTTTTTATAATGTTATAAATTCAATTTGCAACCTTCCGGTTCACGGAAGCGCAATCAATTTTTAGTTGAGTTCAATCTATCGGAGCGGTTCTAACGTTGAATACTTGCTTGAGTGATCTTCAGGACAAAAAATTATATTCAAAGTCCATTGCACAAAATCTTGCACCTGTAACGTGCATTTTTCTGTTGATTTACACCAGCTAAAACTGTATAATAATGTAAAAAAATATTTAGTTGGAATGTTTCTGCAACTTTCACAGGTGTGACCTAAAAATGGACAGTTGTAGACAACGACTGATACGGAATTTGAAAACGGTTCTGCTCCACCCCAAATCAATCTTATTGTACCTCTTTCTTTGTCTTTTCGTATGATGATGGGGTAGCAGTAAACGATATCAGATATTATGATGCCTTTTAGATGGGAAACCTGATCTTCGAGTGGTAACTCGCAGATAATGTCTTTCCTAAATATATATGGATCGGGGGCATTTAGTTTAACTTTTATATTGATTCTGATTCCTTTGTGAATAAGAATAGGCCCGTCATGATGAATGTTAGAACAAATCATTTCGTTTATTTTCTTGTTACAGAGAGTATCTGCTTCGTGGATGCAACCAAATTCATGGCACCATTTGCAAGAAAACTTATCTCTGTTTATGCAAGTTGAACAGGCGTGAATAGATTTGCAATACTTTTCAACTTGAATTTTATTTGCATTTTCGGTAATCCTATTTTAAAAACTTCCTATTTTTTTTCTCTCCATCTCAGTATTACCATTGTGAAACAACGAAGTTGACCCAAGCACTGACTGATTTATTGCCAGTAATATAAGTAGGGTAAATTTATCCATGGCGACAGTAATTCAATGATGATTAACTTGATAGGGCTCCATATATATAGGAAATAATTGTTCAATGTTTAAATATTGTACGATTAAGGGCTATTCCATATTGCAATAGAGCAATACTATTTTTATTACGTGAACGTTATGAATATTTCTATCTATTGCATAAGTTTTCGCATTCTTAACGAATTAGTTACAAAGTTTGTCATGGATATGTTCATTTTTATAAATTGACCAAACATTGACCACAGCGCATCATTAGTAGATCTTTCCTGAAGTACGTTTATCTTATATTTGGTGATATCTATGTTTATTTGATCGCCCCTGTCTTACGATGATTTTTGTACTGGTGAATATTGTATTTAATTAAGTAAACTCCGTTTTAAGAACTATTTATTACTAGCTGTGCCCGCCGCAAGTAAAACTTGCTTAAACAGTTAAAGTTATTTTAAATAAAAATAAATTATGTCTTCGAAAGTTATTTTTAAACTTACCTGTATTGCCTTACTTTTGCACTTTTTGTTGGTTTCTCTTCGTTGTTCCTAAATTATTTAAAACAAAAGCTTGGAATTGTACAAAATGAGAGCTTGGTATAAAATAAATACATTTTACCTACGAAGAATAAAGTTTTTGTATAAACCTACAAACTATGTATATACGTATGTTAGGACGCTCACTAATGGATTCAAAGTATAATACTTCTGCGCTACTTGTCGTAGCAGCGGATAGTTTGTACTTATCCTTTTAATTCTCCTAAAAGTAAAGTAGTTTCCGATCAATCGCTAAAGTAACTATAAATATTACGCGCTTAAGAGGATCAAATGTAGGAAAACAAACCGTAAAAAGTATCAATGGTTCATTTTATTGACGATTCCCATCTTTATTAGTTACGAGCTCATCCGCCAAACGTTGTTTTGTTTTCAATATGAAGATGTTGATACAACTCTATCAAATACAGACTGTAGTTTATGCGAGTAGTACAGATTTAAATAAAACACTTTTCACAGTCCGACTCCATTTCGGATCTTTACAAGAAGATCCGAAACGTCGAAAATGTTTTATTAAAAAAATTCATTTCGACCAAATATGATGAATATAAAATCGGTTCTTTTATGTTAACCATTTTGGAGCGTACGCATCGGAAACTAAAATAAGTGTACGCTTACCCACATTATCATTTGGTAAACAAAAAAATAAAACACGGCTGCTGCAATGCATCCGAAACGTCGGGCCGAAATTAAAAATCATTTTTCAAATAAGTTTAACTAATATATCGCGTTTTAAACCGTTAAAGTGTTTTATTTAAATGTGCACTACTCGCGTAAACTATAGACAGTATTTAATAAATAACTACATGAATATTAAGCTAACTAAAACTTGAAAGAAAGTTGGCATTTTGAAAAGTGTCATTCTACAAGGAAGACCAAACGTAAAGTTGGCAACCGTTAGCATGAGAATTAAAAACAAAATCCTATCACAAGTTAACGAATTAATATTCTGCGAAACGTTTGTTGACTAGTGATAATCGCCTGAACAATTTGCGGCGACAAGGCAGAGATTCCTTCTAAATATCTATTCGTTTTGAAGGTTGTTATGAATGTATATTTGTAATTTCCAACCACATCTGTCATCGATTTTGCATTTTATAATTTTAAATGAATACGGGCTCGTTGGTCTAACGGTAGCAATGTATGGGTCGTTGATTCGATTCCTATCGGTCTCAGATGTTTTTAATCAGTTTGTTTCATCTCGAAATCTGGATATTAAACGGTAGGAACATCGAAAATTCTGAGATGGAAAGATCGTCAAGTTTAATCGCGTTTCGGTTTCAGTCTGTGGATTTACGAATATTCAAAAGAAAAATAGGCTGACAACGCATCTTGTTTAGATGTTATATTTCTAGGGTTTCATCTCCTATCAAGTGAATCCCGTGCTTATCTGTCCTCCTCTATTATTAAAAAAATACTGATAGCGCTTTATTTGAGCGTTGTCAAAGCAGACGTAGAATTGGCATCAGATGAGGTAGAAGTAGCGTTACTGTTCTCAACTAAGACTGTGGTGGCCCCATCTTTTAATCCTGCGTGTGTCGTAGTCAGTTCAGTAAGCGCTTTAGGCGTTGTTGTTTTCGGGGGTATTTTGTTTTCACAACCGACGTACACGTTGACAGATATGGGATAACTGTAAAGAGACTGTAAACGAAGCACAAGGTATTTGTGTCGTAGGCCTCCACGAATGATTTCAATTTTCGGTCCCCGCCCTATGCCTAGACGATCCACCACTCTGAAGTATGTTATCTGAAAAACATGTAAATATTAATTACCAATGTAAAGACGAAAAGCTTGGGCTATTTAAGATAGCATATATGAGATTAAGTGTATAATGTTATCATTTATGGGAATCTAAGATGATTTTATATATGAGAGAGTACAATTGGGGAATGAGTTATATCAGATATTAAAGAAACATATTTCTCTATTAAATAATAAGCACTTACACATAATTATTTTGAAGGTAAAATTTTACTAACTGACGTCTTTAGTTGGTTGTCGTATATGTGAATGAAAAAAAATTATCGCAGTTTTTATCAGAAACAAAACTACCGGACTGATTCTCATAATGCTTGAATTATGTAAATTGTTGCTAAAATATTACAAACACAAAGTGAAATTCTACAATCTTAACACGTTTTGAATATTGTTAATGTTTTCAAAATGCGAAATCACGGCGAAATATCTACGAGCCATCAGTGAATTAATAAAACATATCTTTCAGTCCGTTTTCTTTTGAAAATTTGTAAATTTATAGATTTACTTTTTTAATTTTAAGTTAAATAAAACTTATAACTATAATTAAAAAGCATCGTATTATTAATACATAATTAAATATTTTGAATATAGAAACGGAAATTTTAATTTTAGAATATTAGAACTTAAACGGAGTAAATAGTAAGTGAAAAGGAATTATTATTATTACTGCATACTTACTGGGCATTTGAATATTCTTCCGTACTTAGCGTATATTTTTTTGAACGGCACTCCTTCTTTATATAAGCGGTCCTGAGCCACCAATAAGTCATTTCTCTTAAACATTCCGACATAATAATCTCTACTGGTCACCAAACTGAAGATACAACCGAGAAACATTATTGTACACGCCTTCATGGTTTTTAATAATATTATCCATTAAAACCTACTTCAAATGAAAATGGCGTAGCAAAATTTTACGAACGCCATTAAAATTTAAATCTTTTTAAATAGGGCTTTTATTGTTTGTGGCGTAATTAGATTCCTTTTAGCGAATGTAATAATAATATCGCTGTTTGGTTTTATAAGCAATAAATGGTGCATATTGCTGGCCTCTGATTACAGCTATTATTTCTAAAGGGACTATTTATTTTTACGTTTAGTTTACTTCATGAAATTTTATTTTTCTTGCTTTTGTTAGCTTAGTAAAAACGGCGAATAAGACACTAAAACCATAGAGAACAACAGCTTTTCTAGTCTTTAAAATTAAATAATGCAAAAGACAAGCAAATAATATCACATTTGTATTGTACTGTTATATTATACACGCTGCCCCAAGAAAAAAAAAAAAAAAAAAAGAGGGAAAGGGGGGGGGGGGGGGGGGAGGAAAAAAAAAAAAACCCGGGGGAAGGGGGGGGGGGGGGGGGGGGGGGGGGGGGGGGGGAAAAAAAAAAAAGGGGAGGGGGGGGGGGGGGGGGGGGGGGGGGGGGGGGGGGGGGGGGGGGGGGGGAAGAAAAAGGGGGGGGGGGGGGGGAAAAAAAAAAAAAAAAAAAAAAAGGGGGGGGGGGGGGGAGAAGGGAGCGGGGGGGGGGGGGGCCGGGGGGGGGGGGGGGGGGGGGGGGGGGGCGCACACAAAACCCCCCTCCTTTTTTTTTTTTTCCCGGGGGGGCCCCCCCCCCCCCCCCCCCCAAAAAAGGGGGGGGGGGGGGGGGGGGGCCCCCCCCCCCCCCCGGCCCCCCCCCCCCCCCCCCCCCCCCCCCCCCCCCCCCCCCCCCCACACCCGGGGGGGGGGGGGGGGGGGGGGGGGTTTTTGGGAATTTGAATTTCTCCCCCCCCCCCCCGCGGGGGGGGGTTTTTTTTTTTTTTTTTTTTTGGGGGGGGGGGGGGCACCCCCTTTTAAAAAAAAAAAAAACCCAACCCCCCTCCCTAAAGGGGGGGGGGGAAAAGGGGGGGGAGGGGGCCCTTCGCCCGCCTCGAAAGGAAAAGGGGGGGGGGGGGGGGGGGTTGGGGGGGGGGGGGGGGGATTGGTTAAAGGGAAAGGGATTTGGTTTCGACCCAAATCGGGGGGGGGGGGGGGGGGGGGGGGGGAAAGGGGGAAACGGCGGGGGCCCCCCCGCGAGGGGGGGGGGGGGGTGGTGGGTGGGGGGGGAGAACAAAAAAAAAAAAAGGCCCCGCCACCGGCGCGGCGGCTTAACTTATATTAATACGAGAATCGGCCTGCTGATCCGGGAAAAACGTTCTTACATAATATAAATTATTCCCAGCGAATTTCTTGTGTATTTCAAATTACCAGCAGGATTAATTAAACAACATCAGTTTTCTAGCGGTACAAGAAATGACTTAAATGTATTAAAAAGGGGGTGATACAAGATGAAACATATGGGCTGTATGCATTTTAATGTGACATTGAAAAATATATTAGTATGGAATGAAAAACATATCGAATTCGTAACGCAAGCGCAATTTACGCTTAATAGACCGTTACGCTATAAAGCTGACAGTATTAAACGTGAATTATTATATCCATGTTTGGAGTTTCAATTTCGAATATTGTGACAGACTTGTGTGTGTGAAATCCTTCCTGGGGCATGGGCGAACTTTCACTGATCGATTTTATTTACAGGTAAATAGTTGATCAGACTTCTATAATCTTTTTCCCGACCCGAAGCCCGACCGATAATCTTTTGTTGCTCCTGTGATTAGAATCCAGGACCTCTCGCGTTTTACACACTGCTAGGCAACACGTCTAACCAATTAGCTACAGAGGTGACAAACTTAGAATGTTGATTTATTGCAAATCACTATCTCAAGACTTCTTAGACGATTGATTATAAATCCAATAGCACCGAAGTTAGAAATACACACTCTCTTCGTCTCGCCTCTCTTTACGTTTAAAAGAGGACAGTTACAATGCGACTAAATAGAATATGCAAAATTGTATAATTTCTGGTTATACGTTTTACAAGAGATTGGTAAATGATATTGAGACTTGAAATATTCTTCTATTATACCATATAATTATGTATATATTCATATTATATATGTGTATTATGTATGATAATTGATATTTAAAAAATAAAGGATACTCAGAATAGACTACCAACAGCGTACCACACTTGTTGTCGTGTACATTCTTCAATACTTAATTTGTAAATAGTATATAAGCTTAATTTGAACTTAAGTCTTATCTATTATTTAATCTTATGACATACCATTTAACTATGAATTTTGTCAAGTAATATCGTGTTTGTATAATATCTTGTAAAACCAACGTGAATTTGTACCAATTTTTATTATTGCTTCTATAAATATTTGGCAAACAGCAATACTCCGAAACAGAACTTATCTACTCGGCGACAGCGATGTCTGAAGTTTTCTAGTTTTTCATTACGGTAATGTTCGATATAGAAATATATTATTCCTTTTTGGCAAAACTTATAAAAACGAATCGCCTAACTCAATTCAAGTTGAATTGATAATGTAAAAAGGCAGTAACTATACAAAGTCAAGTGATATTTCAATAAAAGCGCGTATAGTGTATTTTTTATAACTTAAGAAAAACCACAACAAGAACACGTATTCAATACAATTTCAGCGATGACCTTTTATAGAGTGAAGAGGTTGCCACAGATGACATGGGAATAAAGAAATATGTATATGTGTAGGTCGTTTAGTCCATATGGACTAAACGACCTCAATGTTCAAGACCACTTTTATGACAGCCTTTTTTTACATTTTTTTTAAATTCATGATATATTTAACTGGACGTCTCTAATGTTTTCCAGCGATTGTGCATGAGTGGTACTTCGACCTTCTGATGTCTTGATTTTGCTTTCATCCCTTTGTAAATATCGAACTAAAGAAATTTCATTCTGTCCATTCAGTGAAAATATTTTAGCAGTTTCTATTAATTTAGCATAAGATTGTGGCTTTTACTAAGTTAAATATATATTCTAGTGTCTCTAAATGTTTTTAATGTGAATCTATGTAAACCTTGTGAGGAAATTACGATTTTATGTGAACTGTATATATTTCTTAACCAAAAATGTCAGGTTACAAAAAATTACACTGCATTCGTGTATTTGCACGTAAAAATACATAATATAATGCGTAGTACAGGGGCGGATGCTATGTTAAAATTATGAAATATTTACGTTTTACCTTTTAAACAGTAAAAAAAAGGATATTTAATTAAATGTATTTATTCTAACCCAACAGTACGTTTAAGCAATAGTATATATACGTACTGTAAGAATGAAAAATTCAATGGAATTCTTCACGGTTTTGACTCTGGTAATTCAGTTTTATCGACTTATAAACGTCAATTTTCTGCGTGATTTCTTTCACGATTCTCCTGTCTTTCGCAAAGAGCGGAGGTTATTGGCTCGCTTCGAATTCTCATAAAAGTTACCTACTCTCAGTAAATCCGAGAATCACTTGAAAAGGAAGCGAAGGTGCCACTTACCTTAAACGACTTATTCCCGACATATTAATCGTTACTAATATTATAAATGCGAAAGTAACTCTGTCTGTCTGTCTGTCTATCTGTTACTATTTCACGCCAAAACTATGAACGGATTTGAATGAAATCTAGATCCTGAGAAAGGACATAGGCCTTTTTTTATTGCGAAATGGGGGTTGTAAGGGGCTAAAAGGGGGGTAAAAGTTTGTATGGAAATTCGTGGTTATTGAAGCTAGAACAATGAAACTTTCTTCTTTGGCTTTTTGGGAATAGGAGGGGGGGGAGTGGGAGTGGGAGTTAGAGTAGGAGTGGTGTGAGATGAGAGTGTTGCGGCAAACTCATTGGCTGTGCGCAATTACATAAATTAATAAACAGTATAAATAATTAAAAATTCTACCCCAAGTCACTATTCGACGCGAACGAAGTCGCGGGCACAGCTAGTTTTTAATATGTATTTGCTTTTGTCATTGAAATCTATACTCTATACTAATATATAAAGCTGAAGAGTTTGTTTGTTTGTTTGAACGCGCAAATCTCAGGAACTAATGGTTCGAATTGAAAATTTATTTTTGTGTTGGTTAGAGCATATTATATTAAAAGGCTTTGCTACTAATAGGACTGAAGAAACAGCAGGAAATGTGGAAAAAACAATGGAAATTATTCATTCTTGTGGGTTTCCGTTGCTTACCCTATAAAAACGGAACCAGATATACGAAATTTCTCATCAAATGATCAAAAAAATATCCGCGACAGTCTACGTCTATTCTTAAAGATTAAATTGCAACAATGGAACGCGAATAACATCATGGGTTTCTTAGATTTATAGAGTTGAACAGGAGGTTTGCAAAAACAAATTTTAATGCCCAAACCCTACGCGACGAAGTCGCTGACACAGCTAGTACCTTTTATGACAAAAAAACGTTTCCCAACTCAGGTAGTACGTAAAATATATATGTTAATAAAAAACTTACATCATTATTATCATAATGTAGTGTAATAAATAATATGCAATTTGAAATTGGAAAATTCGTATATTAAACCATTACTTACCAAATAAATGATAAGCGCAGAACTCTGTTAATTAAATTACGAAAATTTTGAATCAGTTGTATAAACTCTGTCAAAATTCAATCGAGGAAGTGTTCATAAACATGACGGGCAAGTTTAACTGAATCAAAATAGATACAAGTTCAAATATTTCGTGTTTTACATCGTTTTCAATTACAACTCTATCAGCTAAGCTTGTTCACTTATAAATATACGAGTTACTAAGCATCTCGCGGGGCATAAGGCGAACACATTTCTGTGCCCCTTTTATAGGTTACTTTTTATTTAAGGGCAAGTAGTTCATGAGATTTCTGAGCCCTGCCCAACCTAAACAATCTAGTTCTTCCTCGGAATTCAAACCTACGACCTCTCGCGCTTAACGCAATGCTAGGCGATACATTTACACCAT